ACACAATTTATTAATCTAAGATTCCCTAATATCTCAAAATAAATAAGAAGTCAATAAGAAATTTATGGGACAATAATATATTTTAAATAAGAAATTACATTAATGTCTCGTTCCCAATTGACAAGCTTTGACAAGCTCATGGGCTTGGATTAACATAACAGGTCAATGGAATCTATTGACAAGTCAGAGGGTGTCAGTTGACAACTAAATTTATGAGATAATATAACCTTCACGCATGATCAAATTATAACAAAAGAGTATTATATAACAATTTTTAAGCTGAAATCGTGTGAGACCAAAACATGCACACTGATATTAGATTAAATGATATGCTCTTGGGACATGAGCACATCAATGGCTGTTGCATATCTATGGCTGTTTGCAACAACATTATGATATAAACCCATCATTTAATCTAATATCAATGTGCATGTTTTGGTCTCACACGATTTCAGCTTAAAAATTGTTATATAATACTCTTTTGTTATAATTTGATCTTATGTGAAGTTTATATTATCCCATAAATTTAGTTGTCAACTGACATTGCCTGAGTTGTTAATAGGTTTCCATTGACTTGTTAATCCATGTCTATGATATCAATTGAGGACGGGGGTTGATGGTGTGATTTCTTATTTAGAATATATTACTCTTAGGTCTTGTAACATCCTAGATTTTGAACATAGAAGTGAAAGAAATAGTCTGGAATGGGTAGGCTATTGGACCCTGTTTAACAGTAGTTCCAGGAGCTCTCTAAAAGGTCAAGAGGATTCTAAGGACTAAATTGTAAAGTGAAAGTTTTCGACCAAGCCACCAAGAGAGACGGAGAGGCCGAAACATGAAGGAGGAAATGAGGAAGAAAATGAACATAGAGTCCCAAGCAAGTCTAAGCTCCAAAACAAGGGCCATGTGACATCAAGAAAGATGAACGGGAAAGGTTGATCAAGCAACCTTAATGGTTAGAAGTAAATAGAGCAAGAGGAAGTAAAGAGAAAGTTTAAAGACACAAGGTTAATAGGCAAACGAGGAAGATGCTTGAGGGAGAACAAAGAAGGAAGAGGAGAATGTGATAATTGAGTTTATGTAATTAATGTAGCCCTTATGTTGATGTACATGTGAACATGCCTCTCAATGTTATAAGATGTTAAGTAATGATGATGGCATATATAATTAGCCATGATGATGTATGGAAATGGTTAGTGTATGGATGAAATGGTAATATGCATGAAAAGAATTAATTATGAATTATTAATACAAGTAAAGGGGTTGAGTTATTCCTCAATCAGCGACGAATTTGTAACAAAGTGGAAGTGAGAAAAATGAGTGAATCTGCCCATGAAATTTAGTGAGCATCTATAGCACATCCTAAACTTTAAAACAAGTGGTAGATCATTTAAATTGGATGTGTGCGCTAAAAGTTATGATTGCTCAAAATTAAGGCAGATTTGGAAAACACTGTTTTGACAAATGAATAGTAAACTTCACACAATTAAATGTTCAAATTGACCAGGATCAAGTCTATATTTATATTTTTTTTTCCTTGTAGAGAATCAAAAGAGTTTTAAATAAAATTTTGAACCACATCAATATAATTTTTCTATAATTAGTTATGATTTTTCAAAATTAGATTAAAAATCTGAAATTTCTTGGTGAATAGTAACCTGAGTAATAAAATGTAAAATTTCAAACTACATGCTTGTTTCATGAATTGCTTGAATCGTAACGCTTCCAAACGTGTACTAAAAGGGTTTTAAGGAATGATGTTTTAGGTCTTGTGGGACTCTTATTTACTTTGAGATTTCAAGAGACCTTAGATTAATAAATTATGTTGCTTGGGACATGTGTGTAATTTTGTCTACTTTTTAACTACTCATAGTCAAGAATTTTTCAGGACTACAATTAATAAGATTGGTTATTGTTTGTGCGAGTCCACACTTCTTATTACTTAAGATGGTTATGTTTGTGCGAGTCCACACTTCTTATTACTTAAATTCACATCTTAACATTTTCACCCCAAAACAATCACATCTTAACATATGTACATTATGGCTTTCTTTAGATCTTGCAAATTGTGAGAATTTTCTCATGATTTTAAAATTTGAAATGAGAGGACTCATTTCACAAGTTGAAGCTGATAATATTTATACAGCTAATTATTGTTTAATGTCAATATTATAGATGGGAAAAATAAGGATAATTTTCCAAAAGTAACTTCTGGATTAAACGTGATTTTGAAGTTGGTACTATAAATCAACTAGGTTTGGAACAATTTTTTTTTTTTAAAGATGAATGAATATGAAAAAAATAGTTCAACTGAAAATCATTTCAATTAATACTTGTGTGATTTCTTTTTCTTTTTTTGTTTATATATATATTTTTTATTAGAAATAATTTTATTTGAAGTATAGTACCTCTCCTAATAAAAAATTGAATATTAATTTATCACTTTATACTAAACTTAAATATCCTTGTTACAGCATAGTACTATATTTATAACTTTAACCCTATACTTAGTAGAGTAGAGAATATTTGAGGACAAAATGCGAGGAAAAAGGATTTTTTTCGCCCCTAGATAATTAGAAAATGGGAAGAAGAGAAAATCGAGCATAAAATATCATGTTGGACTCATATTTTATCACATATTAAAAAGATTTCTTTTACCACTACATTAAAAAGTGTGAACTCTCAACCTCTGCCACAGATTTTTTTTCCCTTCTCAGATCATAAATGAAATCACTTTTTCTCATTTTTTCTCCATTTCTTATCTCCTCTAATTTTCTCCTTTAAGCCAAGCACAGCACACTTTTGGAATTTTCAATTCACGTTTTAAGGATTTCATTCATATATCTTGCTATCTTGCTAGGCACTTTCATCAAAGAGAGAATTTTAATAAAGGACTGTTTAAGTCATGTAATTATAAATCAGGCCCAAAATATTTTGAAATTTCATCAGAGGATTTTTTTTTTTGGCTTGAAATTTCATCATAGGATTAAGAAACCAATATAAGTTTATGTTTATCGCAGTCAATTACCAAAATGTGAATTTTTTATGGCAATACTTATATCAAGTTTTGTATATCATGTGTTCGGTTTGAAATATCAGCATCTATAGTATTTAATTATAAATTATAATCTATGTAAAACCAAAAAAAACACATAAATATATGTGATTGAAGAACTTGACATAATGAATATAAAAAAACTTAATCTAAGTTTTCTTTTTCCTTTTCTTATCGGGTGAAGACTGAAGAGTAATTTAGTAATTTAATTCCCCATAAAGAGATTTAGTAATTAACCAAGTCCTTAATTTAATGTTTTGAAAGTTTTAGTTTCATTTTGAGAAAATTGCATTAGGTCCCATTTAAGGAAAATAAAAATTAATCTGAAGTCTTAAGAGACCTCATTGCTCAAGATTTTATTTGTTCGTTTAGCAAACTACCCTCATCTTCTTCATACAATTCTCCCTTATCCTTTGCCATTCTTTTCACTCTCATCACTCAACCCTCAAATCGACTCTTAGTGAGATCACAATCCCTTCAAACTCTTCAGAAGCATATACGCTCATTGACAATCGAGCTCCCATCAAAAACCAAATAGCCAGTTTGGTCTTTTTTTTTTTTTTTTTTTTGTTATGTCCTTTTTCCCTTTTTTTCATTATTGTGCTTGAATCTCTTAATTAGATTTTGCGCCCCATAGCAATTAGATTCATCCAAATCTTTCATCTCCTATGCCTCTTGATTTTATTTCTCCTTTACCTCATATCTTGTACTTGTTCTCTTGTTCTTTCATCTTCCCTATCATACCCAGATCTGATTATGGTCATTGCTGCTCTATTTCTAGGTTTTCTTAGTAATATGCATTAACAATTAAGAGCATAGTCGCTGATAATTTAAGGTGTAACGATTAACAACTATTCCTATGGTATCAACAACATATTTTTCTCATCACATCACAGGGATTTCAGGCCTCAACAACCTTATCGTATTCATTCATTCCCACTCATAACAAAGCAACCCATCCACAAAAATATCAGAAACATAGCAGCGATTCATGACCCTACAACTATTTGACTAGATTAAGTTCATATTTATTGCTATACTCTCGACTTGATATTTATTTGATAAACATTTGTCTTACTTCTCATATTATATGAAATTATAATAAAAGTTTCATATAAACTTATTTAACTTGAAACCATGTATGATCAGAATATATAAACTAAAATGAGATTATATCATAGGTTTATATTAGAGTTTTAGCAATATGTTAACAACTAGGGAGCAATCATTAACAACCTAAGATGTACTAACCAACAACTATGACAGTAGGTTTAACAACACACTTTTTTAACGCATAAAAAGCTTCTGACCACAACAACCTTTGTCATATTCATTCTTTCTACCCAAAACAAAGTAACCTATCCACAAAATTCCTAGAAACAGGTAGCAATGGGTATAATCAGATTTGGGTATGATAGGGAAGATGAAGGAGCAAGAGAACAAGCACAAGGTATAAAGTAGAGGAGAGATAAAATCAAGGGGCGCATGAGATGAAAGATTTGCATGAATCTATTCCTCACTGGGCACAAATCTGATTAAGAGATTCAAACTTTAATGAGTAACAAAAGGAAAAAGGACTAGGAATTAAAAAAAAAAGATCAAACCTACAATTTGAGATTTTGATAGGAGCTTGGTTGTGAATGAGTGTACGATACTGACGAGTTTGAAAAGATTGTGATTTCAATGAGAGTAGATTTGAGGGTTGGGTGATGATAATGGAAAGAGTGGTAAAGGATAAGGGAGAATAGTATAACGAAGATGAGGATAATTTGGTAAATAAATAAATAGAATCTTTTGTAAAGAGTCTCTTAAAATTTCATATAATTTACTGATTTTAAAGGATTTTTTAATTTTTTGTATTTATTTTAATGGGTGGTACCTTAATGCAAGTTTTTCTTTCATTTTCCCATTCCATAAATAGACCGCTTGAAACGGGACGGGACCTCGAAGAGCAGCTACCCAGCGTGGGACGTAAAAATTGGTCACTGAAATCTGCAGTGGCAGGGTTCATGGAGCCTAGGTGCACAGCCATCTCTAGCCTCTCTCACTGAAATTGTTCATTCGCCTTCATGCTGCCCAAAAGATTCCACTAGTTTTTCTCTCATCCAAAGGTACTCTCTTTCTCTTTCTCCATGATTGTTGGCTTTTTTAAGTTCACCCCCTCTTTGTTTTACTTTAGTGATTCCAACTCAAGTCGGGGCTCGTCCGCTTCAAGCTTTTTCTACTCCACGCACATTGTGGGCGATAAGCCTATTCTCGTGAGTAATCAATTCTCTTTGCAAACCTTTTTCACTATATGTTTCGTTTGATTGTATGATTTAAAACAATGCTTAAACTTTGTTTATTCTATTGTGTAGGTTCGAGATTTCATTCATTCCTCCTTGTACCATCCATCCATTCATGGCTATTTCTCTAGTAGATCACGTTCTGTCGGAGTTCTTGAGAAGAGCATTAAATTTAATTCAGCTTGAAGGTGCTGCGGATATTCATTTGCACTTTTTGTCATGTCTTTTACAGTAGCTTGCCACTTGTAAAAAGAATGGTGGAGCTACATTAGTAGTTAATGTGCAATGTGTTTACTTAAGCATTGGAACTGGAATCATATGAGAATAAGAGCGGTTGAAGCTGGAAGCTAAATTAGCAATGTAATTTTAACCAGAATGACTAGTAGATAAATGAAATAGAGGTGTCCGGTTGAAGAGAATAGTAGAATACTGTGATTTGATTAATTAGGTGTAGTTGCTGCATGCCAAAGATAATCCTGCTATGTGAATATGGTCTAAGTATTTTTAGCATAAGAGGAACTTAATTTGATCAAAATTTTTTGTTGTATTTTGTTCCAAGATGTGATTAAGCATAGTCATTGACAGATAGTAGTTGGTAAATAATATAGAATATTGTTTGGGAAGAAAAGGAGAACGAACTCTCTATTTCAGTGAGTTCAAACTTCAAACCTGAAGCCTGGTAAGCTTTAACATAAACAATTGATGTAAAACAACATTTATTTATTTGTTTTGCAGATATTGGAGGTTTGTTTACAGATTTTTATTTTTGGGTTTTTTGGGGGTTATACCAGGAGAGTTTAAAGTTTAAATGGACACTACCTATATCTCGCCCTGCCCTTATACTCCGTGCAAACCTCAAGTGACTTTTTGAAAGTTAATCTCTCAGCAATTTGCTCCGGATATCTAAAACTATTGTGTCATTTATTTAAGCATGCAAACTACTCCAGGTTCAAATGCTGTGTGAGCAATTATAATCATATTTTTGTTCTAAAATATCTGAATACTATTTATTGTTGATCACAACCTTGCAGCATGTTTCCCTAATACCGTAGACTGATGGCATATTCCAGGCCGAACAGGCTATATAGAGATACTTGGATGATATTTACAAGCAGAATGATATATCATGGTTTACGCCGGTTGAGATTTTTAAGGTATACTCTCTCTAGTATAAAGAGTTGCATACCTGTAGATATAAAATTGGGAAAAGTAATTACTTAATTTGATGTAAAACAACATTTATTTATTTGTTTTTTAAACTGACACTACCTATATCTCGCCCTGCCCTTATACTCCGTGCAAACCTCAAGTGACTTTTTGAAAGTTAATCTAAAACTATTGTGTCATTTATTTAAGCATGCAAACTACTCCAGGTTCAAATGCTGTGTGAGCAATTCTAATCATATTTTTGTTCTAAAATATCTGAATACTATTTATTGTTGATCACAACCTTACAAGTAGACAATGTTTTCCCGAACAGGCTAAGTAGACTGATGGCATATTACAGGCCGAACAGGCTATATGATACTTGGATGATATTTACAAGCAGAATGATATATCATGGTTTACGCCGGTTGAGATTTTTAAGGTATACTCTCTCTAGTATAAAGAGTTGCATACCTGTAGATATAATTGGGAAAAGTAATTACTTAATCCTCATAGTTTCATTGAGTTTGCAACCTGATCCCTATACTTTGACTCTTGTGACCCAGACCCAGTCTTTATAACATCTGTGTACTTCACACCTTATATATCACACACACTAAAAGAAAAAAAACAATTAGAATATAACTTCATATATAGTCAAAGTAAAGCATAGTTATATTCTCATACAAGCTAAATGCATGGTCGACCAAGTAATATGTTATTCACATTCACCGAATACGAGCAGTCGAGCACCCATAATTGACAAGCACACGACTTGGGGACCGCAAAGCTTTATGGAGATGCTTACTTAATCAATTAAATAAAAACATCATAAGCACCTACAAGAATCAACCAAGATGTATGGAATCAACTTTTGCTTTAGGTGGGCCCTATATTGAGCATGGGTATAATATTTATTATTCTCTTTTGCAACCAAAAAGTTTTCCCCAATGCCTCTCCCTTGGCCCTAAAATAGCGAAGGCCCTAAAATGCGATGCCCTTGTACTTCCTCTAAGTATGATTTCCCACTTCTTTGGATTCTTAGGCCCTTTTTGGTATGAAGTATTGAAAATGAGAGGAAAGGATTGGGACTAAGATTGATAGAACCCATTAAAAGAGTGTTTAGTATGAGGGATTGCTTGTTACTTGGGATTGATAATACCACCTCCCCCTATGATATTCCTCCATCCCATCTGCATGGGTTTGCACAATCCCAAGTAACAAGCAATTCCTCACACCAAACATTCTTTTAATGGATTTTCTTAATCCCAATTACAATTCTTACCTCTCATTTCAATACTTCATACCAAACGGGACCTTAGAGTTCTCAATCCATGGCTCTCGCCCTATGATTTCAGAGGTCTAATCTCATTTATGAACCTTTGGAAAAATTTCATTGTTATTTTATTTAATCAAATGTGGCGCCGATAAAGATGCTAAATAAGCAAATTTTTAACATTGTTAATTACCATCAATGTGATATAGGACGAGTTACAAGGGATTGAAGATGTTTTCAAGTAAGGATGGATGGAGATAACAAAGAAAACTTTAAGGACTGAGTCATGACAAATTAAATTATAAGGACTACAAACTCAGTGAAACTATAAGGATTAAATAATTAATTTTCCCTATTTCAGATAAAATTTTTTGATTGAAATAGTTCTCTGATTGATAGGCTTGAAAGTGTGATTATGTCAAAACCAATTATTGTGATGAGAATTTATTCTGTTTTCACTTTTACGGGAAACTTAGTTTCTTGAGAGAACTTGTTGCAGACCTGCAGTAACTTTATACAGCCTAGTGTGACAAAAGTCTATTCGCTCAACAAGTTAGAGTTCCATATCCTAAAAGATATATACAGATTCCAGCACTAACTATTTAATTTGACCAGAACTTGCATCAATAATCTGTTGATGTGTCATATTGTGTATTTTACCTTGCACAAATACTTTTCTTAACAAATTTAACTTCAATATTTATAGGCTATGCTTTTATTATTTTTTCCACATCAAATTGATTCATCTTTTATCTTAATTTTTTAAGTTATGCTATGGTATTTCACTAGGCATGGTAATGGAGTCTTAAATATCCGTTGTTCTCTAATTCTCTTGATCTTATGTTAATATATTCCCTTGGCTCTTTTCTGTTTGTGTAATTTTTCTTTTTTAATGTTTATAGCCGTGGTATGCTCATGCAATTGCTGAAGCCATCATGCGCACTGCAAACTTCTCAGTTCCTCTAAAAGTAAGCCATAGTTGCTTTGCTATCAACACGCCTAAGATGCTGTTCTTGACAATAGTATGCCTAAGGTGCTTAAATTGATTAATGTTTTATGTGCTTGTTACTTTTAAGTTTAAAGACTCTGTTTTTGAAAATGCATTTGTCAATAAGCTGTGAATAAGCTGATATCTTTGGTTTGTGTTTTTAAATTTTTAGTATTCATGAAAAGAGTGAAAGGAACAAAATTGAAGAAATGTGGGAAGATATTTTTAGAGCTAACATCCACAGTAATCCGTGTATATATTTTTAATTCATTGACTTGATCTTGCAAAACAGCAAAAGTATATCTAGTCCATACGAATTTTACTTTCTGGTGGTTTCTTCTGATTGCTTTAGTGAATGGTTCCATCTAAAGAGTGGGTTATTGATGGAGCACATTGGCTAGTGTGATCCATGTAGCCAACTCTACCTAGTGGGACAAAGTTTATTGGTGTTGGTGGTGGTGGTGGTTTCTTTTAGTATTTTAGCAACTTTGGTCCTTACTTTGATCAGTGATGGAAGATAAAAAATTTGGGCCTTATAATTTTTGTTTAATGAAATGTTCTCTTTGTAGATGAAAATTCTACTTTGCAGAAACATTAGCTTGTAGATGTGTATGCATAACCCCATTCCAATTCCTATCAAACTTAGTGTGAAGCTTGCTTTGTTTATTTTATGTTATTTTTTTTATTCTTAAATAATATTGCTAACTGTATGAGTTTGTGATCCAAGTATATGCATTTTATTCGGAATGAGCAGCGGTATAAATAGATACATAGGTGCAGTGAAGAGAGGAGATCACTGCTTTCTAGGGATAGGCCGAGATTCTAGGATACAATCAGATTCAAATAGAAAATCAGAATAATATCTAACAGATTTAATACTAAACTTAACGGCAGCCTTAGTAACGTAGGTTAACTAGAGAGAATGTTAGATTAGGGTTTTTAGGCCCAAGGCCCATTAACTAACACTCTCCCTCAAGCTGCCAGTAGAACTCTAACATGCCAAGCTTGCTTCTAAATAATTCAAACTTGGGCCTGTCTAGTGGCTTGGTGAGGACATCTGCCACTTGGTGATTAGAATTTATGTGCGAGAGGTCAATTTCCTTTGATACTATGTTTTCTTTGATAAAATGCCTATCAATATCTAGATGCTTCGTTCTTTCATGATGTATGGATTCTAGAGTGCTGACATACTATCACATCACGTTTTAATTGAAGGAATCTCTCTAACACCAAGTTCTTTATGAACTCTAGTTATCCATAGGCCTTCACACACTCCATCTGCAAGTGCTCTTAACTCTGCCTCTGCACTGCTTCTGGATACGATAGTCTGCTTTTTATTCCTCCAAGTCACAAGGTTACCCCATATAAAGGTGAAATATCCTCCAGTTGATCTTCTATCTACTTTAGTTCTAGCATGGCCAGCATCAGTGTAAATAGTCATGTCTCTGGATTCCCCTTTTTGAAAGAAGAGTCCTCTACCGTAGTGATCTTCAAGTATCTTAGGATTGTATAGATTGCCTCCATGTGGTGCTCCTGTGGTCCAGTTGAGAATTGACTGACTATACCTATTGCATAACTTGTGTCAGGCCTCGTGTGAGAGAGGTAGATAAGTTTTCCAACTAGTCACTTATATCTTTTTGCATCTCCTAGAATCCCATCCTTTTGGTGTTCTAGATCAACTGAAGAATCCATGGGTATAGGTGAAGGCTTAGCTCCTAGCATGCCTGTCTCCTTAAGTAAGTCAAGTGTATACTTTCTTTGAGAGACTGAGATACCCTTTTTTTAACCTTGCAACCTCCATACCTAGGAAGTATCTCAAGCATCCTAGATCTTTTATTTCAAACGCAGTTGCCGATGATCTCTTGAATTGTTCAATCCCTTCTACGTCATTTCTTGTGACTACTATGTCATCAACATAGACAAATAGGATGGATACTTTTGAACCCGAGTGTCTTACGAAGAGTGTATCATCTACGTGGCACTGTATGTATCCTAAGTCTTTGACAACCTTAGCAAACCTCTCAAACCAGGGTCTTGGCGACTATTTCAAACCATAGAGTGATTTATATAGTCTGCAAGCAACTCCAAGTCTGTTAAACTCCGCAAGTCCCTTAGGAATGTTCATTAGCCTTCTTGAAGATCACCATTTAAAAAAGCATTTTTCACATCAAGTTGATGAAGTGGCCAGTCTTGATTTGCGGCTAGGGACAATAACATTCTTATAGTATTCAATTTTGCAACCGGTGCAAAAGTTTCTTGGTAATCAATTCCCTTTGTCTGAGAGAACCCTATTGCTACTAGTCTGGCTGTGAATTTATTCACTGCCCCATCTGGGTTATATTTGATTGTGAAAACCCATTTGCATCCTACTGCTTTCTTTCCTTTTGGAAGTTTTGTAATTTTCCAGGTTTTATTCTTGGTCAAGGCCCTTAATTCATCATCAATGGCTGCTTTCCATCTGGGATCTTTAATAGCTTCCACAAAAGTTGGAGGAATCTGTTCTTCTTCAATCTTAATCACAAAACTCCTCATACATGGAGATAAGCGGTCATAGGAGACAAAATTACTTATAGGGTGGCGAGTGCTCTGTCTTACCCTTTTTCTAAGAGCAATTGGCCAGCCAAGATCATCAGAATCTGAAGTTTGGGTTGACGGTTGGCTTGGCCTTGAGCTAGAGTGATCACCACTATTTGGAATTGATTCTGGATTTTATTCTTCTTCAGATTCACCTACTTCTTCCTCTGTTTCGGTTTCTTCTGGTTCCTGTATTGTGTTACTAGGCGGTATTTCCGAGTAAGGCATATTGATAGTGGTTTCTGGTGTGGGAATGATTGTTGCAGGCACTGTTTCGTGCATTTGAGGGGTCAATTCAGGGCCTGGTCTGTCAAAACAGGTCTGTTTGGCTTCACAGAGGTGGGAACAGCTTGGTTTGGGACTGTTTCAGGGGTTGCAGGGGCTGTGGTTCATATTGGTTCAGTAGTTTCAGGTAGACGAGTCTCTAGGAACTCCCATTCTCCTGAATACCCCCCCCTAAATGGGAGAATTGGGGTAAGACCCTTGTGCCTCTATGAATTTCACATCCATGGTGATAAAATATTTTTTAAGAGTGGGGAGCAACATTTGTACCCTTTTTGAGGGTTTTTAGGCCGAAGGCCCATTAACTAACACTACCAATTGGAATCAAATGCTACTTAAGTGTTTAAGAGTGCTCCTGAGGAGAAGCAGAGAAGAAGTTAAAATCCAGTATTCAGAAATATAGCTTAACGTCTAGCTTAACCATAACTTAACCTAAGATTAATTGTCTAAGTTTCACAAATTCCATGAATTTCTTATTATGCATGCAGAGCTCCTATTAGTAGGTCTTGAGGGCATATGAATTCTGATTTCAATGGCTAAAAAATGAGGGCCATGCATTATATTGCTATTTTGCAATCTCACAAATCTGCATTCCATTTATATGGTTATATAGAGTTTCAGTTATATTCTCTTTATCTTCTGTTTTATTCTCATATTGGATCCAAAATTTGTTTACTTTTTTCTTTATCATTTATCATTCTTTCACACATTATGCTCTTTACCAACATGGGTATTTATTACATCACTCATTTGATGTTACTTGTAATTTGCACTCAGATATATGAAATTGGTGGAGGTTCAGGAACTTGTGCCAAGGGTATACTGGATTACATGATGTTGAATGCTCCTGCGAAAGTGTATAACAGTATGACTTACACGTATGTGCCTCCATATATGTGCTTTTTATTACAAGATCAAAATTCACTTTTTGAGTCAGTTTTTGGTTCTTGTGCCAATGATATCCAATATTATATGTTTATGGACTACTAGAGGCTTTTAGGACTCCTAGTTCTCATGGAAAATAGCGTTGTAGGTGATGCATAAGTTGCCTTGATTTTGCTAATAACAAAAAATAAAGGGAAATAAAAATGAGAAATATTCCATGACATATTTAGCATCCAAGTATGCTAATACAGTCATTTGCATGGTCCCATGGTGACCGTCACTCCTCAAGCTAGTGATTGAATGATGACCATTGTTAGCTTGCCACTAAAGCCTTCTAACTTCTCTCTTGTCACAACTGCTCCTAATGGATTAGCAGCTTCGAATTGATTGGGATAATTCCTCTCTAGAAACTGAAAATAAAGTTTCTCTTCATAAAATGTCAATCTAACTTCCTTTTTTTTTTAAAATTTTTAAAGCCAGATCAATCATGGAACTAATCAAGGCAGTGGCCAGTGGTTCTAGATTCACTAGTTTAATCATGGATAAACTGGTTTGATTGAATTAATTCATTTTTAAATTTTATGTATTAAAAATTTAAAATATTATGTAGGAAAGAAACTACAAATAATAAAATTCATAACTTAATATTCAAAATTCAAACATGTTAATTTCCATCCGTAATCACAAATTGAATTGAAAATGTAGAGTAGTTTAGAGTGAAAGTCCGATATATTATTCACTGGGAAAACAAAGATTAAATAGTGTATAGGAGGGAAGAGATAAACCGATAAATCAAGGAGATAAATCTGGGATTTAACAATCAATATCTTATAATGTAATCTCTCTATCCTAGCCGAGATATTCTCCTAAATAACAGCCCATCGGTATATTTACATAACTAATGTATTTATATAAATGACCTATTTACATAATTACCACACTCCCCCCCAAGTTGGATCATAGATATTTATCATGTCCAACTTGCTTATGAGTCTTTCAAACACATCTTCTAGTAAACCTTTCGTAAGTATATCAGCTCATTGCAGCTTTGTGGGCACATAGGAGAGACAGATTATTCCTTTCCTCCACCCTTTCTCTAATAAAATGGCGATCAACCTCAACATATTTGGTCCTGCTGTGTTGTACTGGGTTTAATGCCATGTTCAGTGCTGCTTTGTTATCACAGAAGAGTCGTAAGGGAGAATTTATTTTTATGTGTGCTTCATTTGCTACACGTTTCAGCCATAACCCTTCCATGATACCTTGGGTTAAGGCCCTCAGTTCTGATTCAGCACTGCTTTTTGCTACCACTTTTTGCTTCTAACTTTGCCAAGTGACCAAATTTCCCCAAACAAAGGTGCGGTATCCTGATGTTGATATGCTATCCTCTTGGGAACCTGCCCAATCAGCATATGTATAGATTTCAACAGTTCTAAGGTCGTTCTTTTTGAAGTAGAGTTCCTGGCCAGGTGTACCTTTTAGGTACCTAAGTATCTTATAAGCTGCATCCATATGTTTTTTCTTTGGAGTGTGCATATGCTGACTAGCTACACTTACTGCAAAAGCAATATCTGGACGAGTGTGTGAAAGGTATATGAGCTTCCCTACTAGTCTTTGATATTGTCCTTTATCTGTAGGTAATTCATCTTTCTCTTGCCTCTTCCTTTTTGTGGCTTCTTGTTCAGTTTTTGCAACTCTTTCATTTTTCTTGGTCTTCTTCTTTATGGTACTAATAGGAACTTTGCTTGGTCTGCAGCCTAGTATCCCAGTTTCCTTGAGCAAATCAAGGATGTACTTCCGTTGAGAGACACATATTCCCTCCTTTGATCTTGCTACTTCCATCCCTAGGAAGTACTTTAATTTACCCAAGGTCTTGACTTCGAATTCCCTGTTTAAGGCTTCCTTTGTACGGTTAATTTCACTAACATCATTTCCAGTAACAACAATGTCATCTACATACACAATTAGAATGGTTATCAACCCTTCCTTTTTCAGGACAAACATGGTATGATCAGATGAGCTTTGCTTGTATCCCTCGGCCTTAGGGACAGTAGAGAACATGTCAAACTAGGCCCTTAGGGATTGTTTTAGCCCATAGATAGACTTTTTAAGTTTGCATACCTTATGACTTCTACCTTCATCAAATCCGGGTAGGAGTTCCATGTATACCTCTTCCCTCAAATCACCATTGAGAAAGGCATTTTTGATATCGAGTTGCTCAAGTAGCCAGTCTAGATTCACTGCAATTGAAAGCAGAACTCTAATAGTGTTGAGTTTAGCGACAGAAGCAAAAGTTTCATTATAATCAATCCCATGTGTCTGAGCAAAACCTTTGGCAACTAATCTAGCCTTGAGTTTGTTCAGTGTACCATCTGCATTGTACTTTGGGGTAAAGACCCACTCACAACCTACAGGTTTCTTTTCCTTTGGTAAGTTCACAACTTCCCAAGTTCCATTCTTTTCTAATACTCTCATCTCCTCTAACACAACCTTTTCCATTCTGGACTCTCAAGAGCCTCATATACACTGTTTGGGACTTTGATGCTATCAAGATTTGAGACAAAGTTATAATGATTTTGAGAAAGAGCATCATATGATACATACTTTTGAATAGGATGCTTAGTGCAAGCACAAGGCTCTTTTCTCAAGGCAATAGGTCTGTCGAGTCATTAGTTGGATCAACCTGAGGGATTTCCTTGTCATGGACTTTTGTAGTAGCAGGATCTCTCACTGGTTCAGGAATTGGGACTTGCTCAGGTATATGCTGTTCATTTTCCTTGTTGTTTTTTCGTGAGTACATTCTGCCCCATTTCCTTTGAGTCTCACTTCCTACTGTTGTGGATGGCACATTTATGGACGGGTTAGAAGGAGGCAAAGGTTTAGGCATGGAATTTGCAGGCTGAAATTCACTCCTACTCTCCTCTTGAATTGAAGACTCGGTGTAATAGGACTCGGTTTCCACAAAGGTAACATCAGGACTCACAAATAAGCGTTTCGATAGAGGATCATAACATTTATAGCCCTTCTGGAAATTGGAATAGCCAAGGAAAATACATTTTGGGGGCACAAGGATCAAACTTTGATTGTGAGTGATGAATGTGAACATAGATAGAACAACCAAATACCTGAAGAGGAAAGGTAGACTCAAGGTGAGTGACCGTATGGGTTTTGCGGAGTTCATCTAGCGATGAAGTGTATGAGAGGACACGACTAGGAAGGCAATTTATTAGGTGGGTAGCAATAAGGATAGCGTCGCCCCAAAAATAGGTAGGAACATGACAAGTGTATAGGAGAGCACGGGCAACTTCAAGAAGGTGTTTGTTTTTCCGTTTAGCGATCCCTTTTGTTGTGGGCTATGAGAACAGCTACTTTTATGAACAATGCCATTATTAGTAAGGAATGTGCCAAGTGTGTGATTAAAGTATTCGGTTCCATTATCGGTATGGAAGACTTGAATGGCAGTATTGAACTGGGTTTTAACATAGTTGAAGAACTCAACAAAGATAGTGGAAACATCAAATTTTTCTTTTAAAAGATAGACCCAGCACGTACGGGTGTGATCTTCAATGAATGTGACGAAATATTTTGAGCGAGAGCGATTAAGGATTTGAGAAGGTCCCCAAACGTCATTGTGTATGATGGAGAAAGGACGAGTAGCCATGTAAATAGATGGAGAAAAAGTAGCTAATTCACAAACATCACAATGAAATGAAGAATTTTTATTCAAAGAAAAATTGGGAAACAGTTTTTGTAAATAGGAGAAACTAGGATGACCCATCCTTTTATGCCATAATGAAAAATCACTGTCATTAGAAGTGGAGACAGACTTGTTTATTCTGGAACACAATGCACTCACGGTAGAAACATCAAGGTAGTAGAGGCCATCATATTCTTCAGTCGTGCCAATCATCGTCCCCGAGGAGAGATCCTGAAAAACACAATGAATGGAAAAGAAATGAGCAGAGCAGTTTGTGTGTTTGGTCAATTTGCTAATTGAAAGTAGATTACAAGCCAAGTGGGGAACATGTAGGACAGAGTCAAGATGTAAAGACTCTGAAAGGTTTATAGTGCCAATGCCAGCTATAGAAGTAGGTGAACTAGTAGCAGTGGTGATTTTCCTATTTCTTGTTAAAGGACGGTGTGAAACAAACATTTGGGCCTCCGAGGTCATGTGATTCGAGGCACAAGTATCAACAATCCATTTTGAAGGAAGATGAGATGTGTGGAAGCCAACAAGCGAGTTACCTTTCTGAACCAAGGAGGCCGATGCAATTGGCTTTTGTTTCTCCTAGAGGGTTTTGAACATTTTCATAATCTGATTTAGTTGGCCTTCACTAAAGGCAGGGCTAGGTTCAGCACCATTGTGGGAAGCTTGATACGCACGGGGCTTACCTTTGCGAGGCTTCTAGTCCGCGAGCATCCTATGAAAGTCTCAACATTTATCACAGGTGTGACCAACCTTTTTGCAATGGCCACAGGTGGGTCGACTTTTTCCAGAGTAGGCAGAATCATTTGTTCTCCTAAGAAAGGAAGATGAGTCAGAGAACGTCTGCTTAGAATCAGATAACATGACTTGTCGTCTGAACTCTTCACGTCAGATTGTTGAATAGACCTCCAGAGTGGAAGGTAGGGTGGTATGACTAAGAATTCTGCCACGAACATCATCAAACTCGGGATTCAAACCAGCCAGAAAGAGGAAAACGTGCTCAATTTCACTGTTGTGCTTATTCCGAGCAGCATCAATAGAGGAGGTCTGTATTTCTTCGGTCAAGAGATCGAGTTCTTGCCACAAAGCAACTAATTGAAGCCAGTATTCGGTGACATTGCACATGCCTTGCTTGCACTGCCAAAGACGATGCCGAAGATCAAAGGCAAGAATGATTCTTTCCATCAGAATAGGAGTCACAGACTGCATCCCATATTGCCTTTGCTGTGGGCAAATACATGAAACTTCGCTTGAGTTGAGAGGACATGGCGTTAATGAGCCATGACGAAACCAGGGAGTTGTCGATTTTACACTGGGTCATAGCTAAAGAGGTGGAGTCGGAAGGCATTGCTGCTTCACCAATCAAATAACCTAACTTGCCACGACCATCGACGGCGAGTTGAATGGCTTGAGCCCATTCTCTGTAATGGGTAACCGTCAGCCTCTTCGACACGATGGAGACGGGAGAGCCATCAAAGCCAGAGCTCAACCCGTATGGAGCTCCAACCTTTGAATTTTTTGACCCATCAAGAGAAGACGACATGATCGCGGGTCACCACAGGGACGCGACTTATCAGACTGAAAATAGGACGGTTGGCTCTGATACCATGTAGAGTAGTTTAGAGTGAAAATCTGATATATTATTCACTGGGAAAACAGAGATTAAATAGTGTACAGGAGGAAGAGATAAATCGATAAATTAGGGAGATAAATCTGGGATTTAACAATCAATATCCCATAATATAATCTCTCTATCCCAGCTGAGATATTCTGCTAAATAACAGCCCATCAGGATATTTACATAACTAATGTATTTATATAAATGACCCATTTACATAATTACCACAGAAAATAAAAAGCTGACAATCAATAGTTGGAGGCAAAAAAAAAAATCGTAATAATATTCATTAAGTCCATAATTATTAATAATTGCGAACAAGTGTAATACTTATATAATGTCAGAATATAAGAAGAAAATAGTTTACCCCAAAAATAAAACCACAACAAAAAAAAAAATTTAAACGATTCATACCAATAACTCAGCTAGGTTTCTGGTTTTGACCAGTTATCAAGACAATCAATTTTGTGGAGTTTTTGAACTGGCTTAAGCATGCTGATTTTAAAATAGAAATAATAGAAAGGATGAAAAAGAACTAGTTTTTGAAACTAGATTACTTGGTCTTGCTCTCATATCAATGCTAATTCCACATGCCTCATCCTATCATGATATATTAAATATTTTACAATAACCAGGGTGGCCATGTTATCACAAAAATTTGTCAGAAGAGTTTCCATAGAGACCTTTAGTTCCCTTAAGAGCCTTTTAAACCACAACCCTTAAACTCATTGAAACAAAGCCTTTCATTTAGCTTAAGCACTTGTCTTAGCAACAATTGACTACTTGCTTCTTCAAGTTACTAAATTAGCTCACAAAGACATGTGTAGCCAGTGGCTAGCCTTTTGTCTGCAGTGAAAAACTTATAACAAGCATATTACATTAAAGATATAATCTTTGCAACTAGCTTTTTATATCATCAATCATCCACATGGGAACTATCCTCCACGAACTCCTACCCTCTTCTTCTAAAACTTCAGCTATCAGTGCTTCTTCTAAATTCTAACGACACTATTGTTAGACAAATAGCCTTGAGAGAGGAATTCTTTGCCTTACATGGAATTGACTTGTTGTTATTGCACTAAGATATATGTAAATATATATTTGTAAAATTTTGACGATTCACTTAATAAGATGAATATGACTTGGACTTTCTCTTTAAAGACCCTATTAAATTTGGGGGGGAGGGGTGGATCAAACTAAGTATTGGTTTGGTTTGGTTTGGATATTGAATCAGTATCGAACTGGTCAAACTGAGGTGAACAGGTGAAAACTAGTGATGAACCGATTTGAATGATTATATTGCTATTGGTCTTATATTTTCTCATTCAGCTCCTAACATTTCAGTCACTATAGATTTGAATGAATTTTAATGATAATTTTGGCATTAATGATTATTAATTTTAGTAATTGATAAGTGGTGAATATCAAAATTCTCGATGTTATTGTAATTTGTCATTGTTACAGTCAAACTATTATTATATTTCCTTGTATTTTGTTATTAGTGATTATTAATATTACTGTATATTGTTATTTTCAATTAAATTATGTTATTTTAATATGATCGGTTTGATCCTGAGTTAATCCCTGTTCTACTAACTTGCCCTTGAACCACTATGGTCTGGTTATAATAGTGTTATTTATAATAAATTTGTTGGCATGTATCACTCTCTCAATTACCTTTTGGAATATCATATTTATTACCGTAGTCATCTTAGTTCAACTAGAAATTAACCACTATTGCAAATTTGTTTTAAGTACTTGCTTTTTTCCTTTTTTCAATTTTGAAGTGCATGTTTCTCTTCTACTTATAATTGTTTACAACTACAGTTCAGTTGAGATTAGTCCCTCACTTGCTGAGGTTCAAAGAGAAACTGTTGGTCAAGTGCGCAGTCACATACCAAAGTTCAGAGTAGAATGTCGTGATGCTGCTGACCGGACTGGATGGGGTGGGATTTTTATTATGCTTATGTCTTAAATATATATAAAATGAGTAATTTTCATTCATATTCAGCAGGGTAATTCAGCATCACATTTATTGATGTAGAAGAGGATAAATCCCCATGTGGGGATTAATTTTTCATATGAAGCTTTTATCAATGTTAATACTACGTGCTATAATTGAATAAATATAATATTTGGTCCCTCCTTATATGATGTGCCAAGTAGGGAATAATTTTGTGCCAAAAAAAAAAAAGTTCTTGTAATTTGAATTTTCCTTTTTTTTTTTTTTTTCTTTAAAAAAATTTAGGACTCTTCTTTTGGACATCTATAGACTACTATGCATCTTATCGAAGATAAGCATGAGACGAAGCTAATATTTTTTTTGTTTTCCATTGCTACTATTATAACAGGGGATGTGGAGCATCAACCGTGCTGGGTGATAATGCTTGAGGTGTGTTTTATTTCTGCGTTACTTTTGTTTCCTCTGGTTCCTAGATTTAGTAGCAAATAAAATCCCTTGTGTTCCGGATCTAGATTTTTGGTCTCACCCACCATCAGTCAAAAGGCCAAAAAATTGTCCCAAAGTGTTCTTGGCACTTAATGCTTATGGTAGTTCACCTTAAAAGTTGAGATGTGGTGTTTCCTACTGATTCGTAGTTTCCATATCATTGTCACTAATGCACTTTCAGGGTATATCATTTTTTTAAATTGTTGTAGGTCCTTGATAATCTTCCGCATGATCTTATCTATTCTGAAAATCAGGTTTCCTCCTGGAAGGAAGTGTGGGTTGAGAGACAACATGACAGGTGAGACTCAGTAATATGGGAACGCCAATTATGTTGTGGCTATATATGCATAAAACGTTTTTCAAAGCATTATTAGGATATAGCTACATAAAGACTCGTTCATATTTTAGAATCCGACTTTATTTGAATGTAGTGAAATGTTATGCATTTCTATGGCTCAAATTGTTTAACCTGTGTTCAACCTGCTTAAGAATTAAAAAGGGAAGATTGCTCATAGGTCCCAGGTAGAAAATTAAATACAAATGGGTTTGAAAAGATTTAATATTTGCAAATCAAACTTTCATATTTACAAGTTGGATTGCATGATTTACATGTCAAATTTAATAAGTTAGTGCTTACAAGTTTGACTTGTAAATATTAAATCCCTTGGGACTTATCAGTACTAAATGAAATTCCAGGGACCTATCTGTATTTAATTTCTTAGTTGGGACCTGTGGGTAATTTTCCCAAGTAAGAATTATGTGTCACCATCCAAATTTTTCCTCCAACAGAGACATTCTAAGTGAGTTGTACAAGCCACTGAAAGACTCACTTATTACACGTTGTGTTGAGATCATGGATTTGGGTAAGACCCCTGCAACTCAAAGCAGTGCAAGAGCGATGCTGAAAAACATTTGGTCTAAACTCCACCCAAAACCCCGTAGATGTTGGCTTCCAACTGGTTGTTTGGTAAGAATTTGTTCATATTGCTCAAGTGTTGTATGCAAGTTGATTTTGTACTCATCATACCTTCAAACTTGTAGAAATTATTCGGAGTGCTACATGAGGTGCTACCAAAAATGTCTTTAATTGCTTCAGACTTCAGTTATCTGCCAGATGTGACAATACCTGGCGAAAGAGCCCCATTGGTTTCAACAAAGGTATATTGTTGTTATGTCTATTATTTAAAAAACACAGCAATTGTTATAATCAAAATACTGTTTTCTTGTTACAGATAAAACAAAAGTATGCCAACCTAAACCAGTATTGAACTACTGATAATCTTAGTTAATCAAGGTAACCTCTTGATTTGCAGAGCGATGGAAGAAGCACAGACTATGGGAGTTATTTAGAGGCACAGGTGCGATTTAATACTAGCAACTCTTTTTCCGCGTCCACTATCCTTGTTATCCTTTTCTGTGTCCCACTGTGTGATAGCAATTTGATGCCTTTACACAACGATATTTACTTCTGTTTAAATAATGCATTTGGCATAAGCAGCACAAGAACTTTTGTTGTGACCCTGCTGCAATATTCAATAAACCAGAAAACAAACCAGCAAAATGAAACAGTAGCAGCAATAATGAGGAAAAATCCTGAGGCTTTGATATTAATATTTGAGAACTGAATCAAAGATACAACAAGCTCCAATGATTCAAGCCAAGGCCCTATTTCCATGTAAACCAAAAGAGACCACAACAGCAACCAGTAAACAAAAGGGTAAATTGAAAAACAAACAAACACAACCAACACAGCGGCACTCCCATGGTATTCAGGTCTCTCCCTCACTAACTCTCTTTCAAAAATAAGTCCTAAGGGCATTTTTCCCAAGTTACAATGCAATATACTTCCCCAAAAGCAGTCCTATGCCCCCTATAAGGTTTCAGACTCAAAAGATTAGTAGCTAGCTGCAAATTAGAGCTGCTCCTCATTTTCTGGAGCTTCAGGGTAATTTTCTTGACCAGTGGATATTTCTAATTCTTCCCTTGATTGCTTCCTTAATCATCTCTTATATGTTTTCTTAATCTCAGCGGCTATATCTTATCCCACCCCTGCAAGTTTCACCTTGTCCTCGAGGGGAAAATCAGGGAATTGTCTAACAATATTGTCAGCATTCTCCCACAATTTTCAAAGTCAGGCAAGTCTTTCCAGTTCACAAGAACTTCCAGCTGGCCATTAATGAGCTTTCGAGCTTTACAAATTTCTTGGGGTTGCGTCTGTAATTCCAGCTCTTCGGATAGAATTGGTGGGAATGTGGGGTTCACAACAGCCGGAGGAACAGACTTTTTCAGATTTAAAACATGGAAGATTGGATGAATCCAGGCTGTCGGAGGAAGCTCAAGCCTGTATGCCACTGCTCCTTCCCTTTTTATAACCTTAAAAGGGCCATAAAAACGAGGACTCAGCTTTTCATCAAGTCTCCTTGCCAATATTCGCAGCCTGTACGGTCTGATTTTTACAAAAACCAGTTCATCCACTTCAAATTGAATATTTCTTCTATGTTTATCAGCTTGTTCCTTCATCTTACTTTGTGCCTTGTTCAGATTTTCCTTTAGAATAGCAAGGACTTGATTTTGATTCTGAATTTGCTCATTAACAGCTTACAATGAAGGAAAGTCAGAGGATCTCTTCCATAGACAGCCTTAAATGGGGTCACATTTGCAGTGCTATGATAGGTGGTGTTGTACCAATATTCAGCCCACAGTAACCATTGTGACCATTGATTTGGTTTTTTGGCCGGTAAAACAGCATAAATAAGTCTCCAGCCCTCTATTTAGCACTTTTGTTCGCCCATTGGACTTCAGGTGATAAGCGGAGCTAAGACACAATTGGGTTCCAGCTTGTTTAAATAATTCCTTCTAGAATTGGCTCACAAACACTTTATTTCTATCAGAGACAATTGTTCTTGGAAAACCTTGCAACTCGACAATTTCATTCACAAATTTTTCAGCAACATCCTTGCTGTAAAAGGATGAGATAATAGAAGAAAATGAGCATATTTAGTCAACCAATCCACCACCACTAGAATGACATCATACCTCTTAGATTTAGGAAGCCCAGTGATAAAATCCGTGCTAATATCTTCCCAAATTCCTTGAGGAATGGGCAAAGGCTGCAAAAGGCCAGCAGGAGATAAAGCTTGATATTTATTATTATTATTATGTTTTTGACACATCACATTGAGCCACGTACAGCTGGATATCTTTCTTCATCCCCTCCCAATACATGATATTGGACAGCCTTTTATAAGTTCGAAGATAACTGGAATGGCCTCCCACCAGCGAATCATGATATTCTTTGAGCAACAAAGCAATTCTAGTAGATTTTTTGGCAATACTAGTCTCCCTTAATAATGTAGACAGCCTTTTTCTAAGTTGTAGCCTTCAACTTCTCCTAAGTTTAGTCGTTAGCTGCTACAATATTAAAGCTAATTTTGGATCAGATTGCACCTCTTTTTCCCAGTCCTCAATATCATCATTTGCCACAAAGAAAACCCCATCAACTCAACAGACTCATCTTGCCTTGATAACGCATTAGCAGCTCAGTTTTTCTTGCCCATTTGTAAACTATTTTGAATTTAAACCCCATCAATTTAGAGATCCATTTCTGCTGGTTTTCATCAATAATTCTCTGTTCCAGCAAATATTTCAGAGCTTTCTGGTCCATACAGATCACAAACTTATGCCCCCATAATTAATGACGCTATTTCTCGACTACCATGACTATTGCCATCAGCTCCCTTTCATAGAGAGAACATTGTTGGGCTCGGTTAGACAGCTTTTGACTGTAATACACCACAGGTTGTCCCTTTTGCATCATTACCACTCCTACACCAATCTCCAAAGCATTGGTTTCTGGTTCGAGTGGAATAGAAAAATCGGGGATAGCTAACACCGGGAGAGGTGTCATGGCTTTTTGGAGCTCTTCAAAGGCTTTTTCAGCTTCAGGAGTCTACTTGAATGCATCTTTTTTGGGTAGATCAGTAAGAGGGCTAGTAATTTTGCCATAGTTTTTAACAAAACGTCGGTAGTAACCAGTTAGCCCTAGGAATCCTATTAAGGACTTCATATTGGGCCATTTCAACATACTCTCAATTTTTGTTTGATCTGCCTGAACTCCTTTTGATATAATATGGCTCAAATACTTAATTTTAGGCTGGACAAAACTGCATTTTTTTCACGTTTATAACGAGCTGGTTCTCTCTGAAGCATGTTAGTATAAGTGTTTCAAATGGGAAGAAAAATCTATACTATATACAATAGACTAAAGTATATATTTGGTCCTTTAACTTTACGTAAGGTTTCAGTTGGTCCCTTAACTTTAAAAACTATACTTTTAGTCCTTTAATCTCAAAATTATTAATTTAAATGATAATTTTTTGTAACAATCATTATTGCTTTGAATATTAAACTCAATAGGTTAGCATTTAGTAATGTTTTACAGCATTCAAGAACTCTATCATTATTTTTTGTTAACAGTTTTAGGGTTGAAGGACTAAAAGTTTACTTTTCAAAATTGAGAAACCAAAGTGAAACCTTATATAAAGTTAAAAGACTAAAAGTATATTTCAGTCGTATACAGTAATATCATCAAAAAACACCAGAACAAACTTACGCAAATACTCCTTGAATATCTCATTCATCCAGGATTAGAAGGTAGAAGGAGCGTTGGTCAAGCCAAAGGCATCACGTTGAATTCATATGCTCATCCCTAGTCTTAATTCTGATTTGGTGGTATCCGGATTTGAGATCCAGCTTTGAAAAAACATTTTCCCCTTTCAACTTTTCTAGCAACTCATCAATGACAGGAATGGGGAATTTGTTAGGCACTGTAATTTTATTCAAAGCCTTGTAATCAACACAAAATTGCCAACTCCCATATTTTTTCTTAACCAACAATACCAGGCTAGAATAGGGGCTGTTACTAGGCTGAATAATTTCAGCTTTCAGCATATCTTTCCCCATGCTTTCTATCTCGTTTTTTGGGAAATGGGGGTATCTATATGGCCTGATGTTTGGGTGGCTGTTCTCTAGATTTAATCATAATAGCATGATCCTTGGACCGTGGGGGAGGTAACCTTCCTTAAGCTTAGCAAACTGTGGGAAATTTGCTCATTAATTCCTGAACCTTCAGAGTTAACTCTACTGATGCATTTTCTTCACCAACCCGCCCAATATACTCTATTAAGTATTCCTTCCCTTCATTGACCCAATCAAAGATTTGAGAGTAGCTTGGCTCTTTGTTAGAGAAGAGTCTCCCTACAAGCAAATGCACTTCCATGGTTCACCTATTTCCTGGTCAACGGACTCCAGTTTACATTTACATCTCCCAGGGAATTCAACCACTCCACCCCTAGTATCATATCAACTCCACTCAATGGAAACAGATAGAAGGTATGGTTGATTTCAAGCCCTTGCACCTTCTAACAACATTGTGGTATACTTAGCAATTTCATCCACTAAGATTCCGGCTTTGCTCACTAATTCATCTGAGATGAAGTTATGGGTCGCTCCATTATCTGTTGAAATTATGACTTCCTCTTCGACCAGGGACCCTCACCTTCATCTTGTGGTTACTCCAAACCTAGTGATGGAATTAAGCGATGATTCCATTTTCATAGCTTCCCCTTCTTGGACCTCATTCAACTCATCTAGTTTCTTAGATTCTTCAGGCCCTTTGACACCCTTCTCAACCCCCATTTCCAGAATCATCACTTGAAGATTTTTGTTTTTACATGTGATTAGGTCCATGTTTCTTTTCACACATGAAGCAGAGTCCAAGCTCTCACTAGTGAGCAATCTCGAAGTCAGGTAATTACTAGTTGGTCACCCCCTTCCTCACCAATTAGTTAGTTGGCATGTTGTTGCTACCTCTCGAGTCTGTGCCCTTCAACTTGTGTATCTTCAAGCGTCTGAGTTGGTGGAAGTAAATGATGTTGTCGTCTGCGTTTCTAGTAGCTGGGATAACTGAGTGCATCGGGTTTGGGCCGGTTCAGTCCTTGGCCCATTAGGGTAACATTGAGCCCCAAGTGCCCTGTTTTCTCTTGTAGCATCGATGCTCAAGTTCCATTCTTCTACTCGAATGGCCATCTCCATCACTTCACTCACGGTAGTCATCGGAGTAAGCCCAAGTTCTACTCTGATCTTACTCTAGGACTGATCGACTTTGTTTGGCTGCATAGAGCATGTCATACGCATCCCCAAGCTGAGAATGATGGAATCTTCGCAAGACTTCATTTTTGAATTCCTCCCAGCCATGATGGCAGTATGCGATTCAACCCACTAGTACCAATTGAGAGCCTTTCCCTCAAGGCACACCATGGCCGCTTCTAGCTTCTTCAAGGATGGTGTTTATTCGACAATATCTCTGCTCTGAGAAACCATCCGATGGGATCTTCGCCATTAAATACAAGTACCTCCAGCTTCTTGCATCTTCCAATCTCCTTGTTAGCTGTCATGGCTCTCACCAATATCTTCACCGTGGGGTCTACCATGTTCATGCTTATGTGATTCCACCCCCCGGTCTCTGTCTCACCAATTGCCTAACAGCCTCATGAATTCTACCCACTGCATCTTTTAGAGCATGTACATCCCTGGTCAGTCCTCTAACTGTCTCCTTTAACTCCTGTACTTCCAGCCTAGCTATCGCACTTATTCTTCCATTACTGTCCTCACCACATGTGCCCTATTGGGATAAACCAGAAACCAACAATGAAACAGTTGCAGCAGCCTAAGGGAAAAGAACTGAATCAAAGATACAAGAAGCTCCAATGATTCAACCCAAAGCCCTATTTCCCTCTAAACCAAAAGAGATCACAACAGCAACCAGTAAACAAAAGATTACACTGAAAAACAGACAAACACAACTAACAAAGCAGCTCTCTCATGGCATTCGAAAGGCCAGGTCTCTCTGTCACTAACTCTTTCAAAAATAAGTCCTAAGGGCATTTTTCGCAAGTTACAATGCAATATACTTCCCCAAAACCAGTCCTACCCCCCAACACACAAGGTTTCAGACTCGAAAGACGAGTAGTTAGCTGCAAATTAGAGTTGCTCCTCGTTGTCTGGAGCTTGCGGATGATTTTTTTGACCAGTGCATATTTCTTCTTCTTCCCTTGGTTGCTTCCTTAATCTTCTCTTATATGTTTTCTTAATCCCAGCAGCTATATCAAAATTGCATTAAGTTAATCACTACCCAATACTTGGAAGTGCTGGCTTCGCATCTAAAACAGCTTGAACTTCAAGCCATCTGTAGCTTGTATAATGATATTTTGTTGGCATGAGTTACTTTTTCCTGTTTAATCAAATCCTGAAAAATATGGCTTCAATATATATCATAAAAAGTCGGGTAATTCTTGAGATATTATAAATATTTCCTTTTTTCTTTTTGTGGCAGGGTGATGCTGACATCTTTTTCCCTACTGACTTTTGGCTGCTGGAACGAATTGATCATTATTGTTCAGGGTGGCTGAAACTACAGGGAGATGATACATCCAAAAAAGGAAGGAAGAGGAGAACCATTACGGTTAGTTTAGTCGTTTTGATATTTGCCGTCCTTGAATTTTAAGTTTCATGATCACTTAGTCTTTTCTCTTTTCAAATGCTACCCCTTGCTGAAGTCAGGCTGATCATCTTACCAGCAGTCAACTCCAATATTTGTAGGACCATTTTAAAACTCAAAAGATCTTGTCGATTAAACTAATTCTATGGGATAGCAACTTAATTTCAATTCTTGGTATTGATGAGGCTTAATCAAATGTAATACTGGCTCACTGTACTGTTAATCAGGTCTTTTTTTTAGGTTATAGTTTCTTTCCTGTAGGTTATAGTTAACACACGAATGTGGATATGTGGTGTAATTTGAGCTAACACCACAAGATCTGTCATTCACCATAGTTTTTGAATATTACATTTGTTTCTTGCAAGACATTAATATATACTCACTTTCAATTTATTAACAATTTTATGTGCTCTGTTAAGTAGTTTATATCTAATGCAGCTGGAAACATCATCTTTCATGGAAGAGTTTGGCTTGCCCTCAAAGACAAGAACCAAGGATGGATACAACCCCCCCTTGATGACTTCAAGAATACCAAGTTTTTCCTGAGTGTCCCAACACACAATATTAAGTAGATAGCCAGAACAAATTCTTTCATTCAAAAGTATTTCTGTGGGAATTCAATTAAGCATAAGCAGATGTTTCTTCATTGAGAGGGAATGAGCATGAGTTTTCAGAACTTCATTGTCAGTGGAGTTAACAAATTTTTTACAAAGGTTGCTGCTATTATATGCACCTTTTTTTCTCTTTTCTTTTTATCTCTCTCCAAAAGTATCAGATACAATCATTTTGGTGAAGTCAGAGGATTCTGACTCCCTTGTTTCTCTCTTCTTTCTATGTAGCCATTGTTGTGAAGCCAAGGGATTTGGACTCAAGTAAATCATGAACATGAACAAGGGGTACAAATAAAATACTTTCTGTTATCTGGTTGAACAAAGTCTCCCAGATGGATGGCGATTGCTGACTGGAGCTTAGCTTACTTGTATGTCTTAAAAAACAAAAGGATAAATCCATTGCTACGATTGATAAGTTTTCTCCTCGGGTAATACTGATGTCTAATGGTTTAGGTGACTAACCTTGTTTAGGTTTTGAATGTTTGATTTCTTTTTGCAATGGTTTATAGTTTATACTTTAGGTTATCTATGGGGAGTCTGTAGCTTTGATGCAGTTCACTGGGTTGTTAAGTTAGTCTTTGTAGTTCAAGAGGAGGAAAGAAAAAGAGTTAAAGGGATGTTTACATTACTTGTTTTACGCGCGCGCGTTTATTATAATAAAGATATATGAAACCAATTTTTTAAATTTGTTCATCCTCAACAAGCAAGTAAAAACGGGTATAAATAGAATGATGAATTGCAGACTTTTTGATTGAAAAAAATATTTGAGGTTAAAATAATACTATCTAATATCAACTTATTCTTTCATGTTACCTTATTTAAATGACCTATTTCCTACTCTAAAGGCAAGCCTCTCCCATATCCTTATTTTTAATAGGGTTAAGGTGGCAATTTGTCAGAGAAGTTTTTACTCAGAGGTATTGGATACTTGAAAGTTTTTTCAAGTATAAGTTTGTTCTGAAAGTTTAAATCATAGTAATTTTGGTCTCTACTGTTAAAAAAACTAACAATGATTATTAAAATAATAATATTGATTATTAATATTTTTAAATGTAAGAGGCAAAATCGCTACAATTTAAAACTTTGGTGATAAATTTGCACTCTTTCAAGCGTCTAGTGTTTTAGTGAAAATTTTTAGAGCAAGTTTGCATCTTATCTTTTTCTAAATATTCTTTTTTTTGTAGTTGTTAACACATATTTTAGACTAAAATATTCTTTTTAAACGTAAATTTATTTGAAAATTGTTAACTATTTTTGTTAAAAAAAAAACATTTTAATAGATATATTTATAAGCTTTTTATCATGAAATAAAAATGATTGATTTTATAATTTTATGTTTTGTTTATAAATTTATATAAACTTATTTATATAGTAATTTATTTAAAGGTTAAATACAATGTTTGGTCTCTCAAAATTGCTATCATTTTAATTTTGGTCGATCGAGTTTTAAACTATAGTTTTTGATCTATCAGGTTTGTTTCTATCTAAAATATTTTTCCCTATAATTTAATAAATATTTGGATTATTTTGTCACTCGAGGAATTAAAATTTATGGTTTAAAATTTGAGAGACTAAAGATTAACCCTTTTTAAAATATGGATATTGGCCCAAAAAAAAAACTTTGAAACAAATATTCAAAGATGCTTTAATGAAAATATGAAATATTTAATATAATGAGTGATACATTTGCTCTATTTAATCCTAAATATAGAAACTTTTAAATTAATTTGTGTATAAAAAGGTTAAATTAATTATTTATAATTGACATGTTAGAAATTTATGATAGTCTTGAAAATATCTGTCATTTATTTCCTCTTTTTCAAAAATGTGCTTTACACTTTCACAGTTTCGCCTATCTAGAAAGAGAAATTATACCAAATTTTACTTGATTAGATTTATTAATCTCAACTAAATAGGGTAAAATGAACATTAACGAGGTGTAAAAGTAAACAAGTTCTTAACATTAAAACAAAGTTTCAAGAGAGATGAGTAGACAGAATATAACTTAATATAATTCTAGCTAAAATACATATCTAGTTCTTTAGTTTAGTGTAAAATGATTAAAAGTAAACTTTTTAAAGTTAAGAGATCAAATTAAAGCTTTGTAGAAAGTTAAACAACTAAATCTGACAACAATAAACTTTAGGATGCTAGCGACACATTGTCAATTCTTTGGTTAAATGTGTTTTTGAAAATCTCAATAGATGTTAATCTATTTTTATCCATTTATCATCACTGTCAGAAAAAAAGCTTTTAACAGTGGTTATTTAAGGTTTTTTACGGCGGTTTTGGAGGCGAAGTGGATACTATCGATGTTGAAAGGAGAATAAAACACGGTGATTGTAAACCACCGTGAAAAATTGACTTTCCATAGCAGTTTTCTATAAAAACGGCGTGGAAGTTTATTTTTTCACAATGGTTATTAATATAACCACCATTAAAAACTCAATTTTTTTTAAAATACTATGTGAATTTCTTTTACTACCTCCATGCAGTTTACAAACCCAAATCAACCAGCAGAGTAGAAGAATATTTAGAACAATTTCAAGATGCCCATAAACACTAACATCCAATTCTTATTGAATCACGTAATATCTCAACAAATAATCAACTAGTTAATAATCTAATAATGAACTTTGTGAGGAATGACCTAACTATTTCACATTCTCAACATTCTGTAGCAATGTTGTTAATAAAGTGTCCCTTATCAAATTGATTTTCTCTATGTCATATGGCACACAATTTTGAAATGCCTATAAATAAAAAATAACATAATCATTAGTCAACTTGATTAAAAATATGAAAAGAGTTGAAGAATTACATGCAATGTAACCTATATTTACCTTGTTTAATTTCTCAGTTACCCCTGTCTCAATGAGGTCATTCATGTAGCGGATGACATAATATCCGCATTCAACACTCCTTGGTTGACAACGGTACTAACAAAATAAAATATAAAATTGAATATAGACTTTGATTATAAACATTAAGTTTGATTATTGAAAAGATTTATAAGTATATATTTAGCTCAAAACAACATACTTATAGGAGAATCCATGTTGGTGGTTGCCTATTTTGCTACTTGGCCACAATATTGAAACTATGAAAGCCCTATTAACAATTAAAAAAAAAAGATATTATAGCATGTTTTTATAAACTTTACACGTAATAGATATATAAATACAAACTAACGTATCGATGACATATCTAGTTTTTTCGATTAGAGTTCCACAGACGGAATCGAACTAGTAGATTTTGTTATCAAAAGGAGCACAAACAATTAAGGTTCAATGATAACTACAAAATACGAACCATGTTAATTATAATCCTATATATACAACTTGTGTATCTCAAATATAATAATATACTTACCCTTCCACATAAGGTGCAAAATATATTTGCTTTCTCGTCTGAGTCATTGTAGTCATCATGTAGATCGACTTCGCTTCCACAATATTGACTATTTTATGCACCCTTTGAGGACACATAAAGGCATATGTTCCTTCAAGTCCTCCCTACCGACAGATTTGAGTAAAGTGCCTCTTGTTCAAATAAGAAACATTAGGATATGTATAAGTATAATATGAATAAGAAAATGATATTGTAACTTACAAAATAGCCAGCTGTATGAAGACTATATCCAACTCCTTAAAGTTGAGGAACTGAACGAGGTCCTTCTTGTCAATGGTGAAGTTGTATGTTACATCTGAACTTACGATCCCTAGCGGCATCTTGAAAGTAAGGGGTTTCTCCATCTTTGCCACCATAGAATGAAGAAGCACCAAACTAGAATACATAACCGCAATGTCACCAAGAAGAGGCAGGATGACAGGATCTGATGATGCGCTCTTTGTCATCTTCTTCGTTGCCACCTTCTCCATTAATGACTTTCTAACAAGTCTCTTTGGTCACAAAATGAAATGTTCTTTAGTCTGAGCCAGTAGTTGAACCTCATCAGTAGGGTTGGGCACTGGTGTACCATATTGACCACTACAGATCTTATCTACCGTCACCCTCACTTGATCCTTTGGAACTTTCTTACTGTGGATCTTTGTGCCCGAGAATGCTCAACCACTAGCGACATGAACAACTGAATCTTCAAAGTCCACATAGAGAGCAAACAGCATTCCATTGTCTTCGATAGGGTCAAGGTTAGACACTGTCAGCTGCTATGTCTAATTATTACTGCCCTTCCCATTTTTCATCATAGGTGAACCCTAAAATATAAAAAGAAATTAGTTAAGGCACATTAAATAAGTTTAAACGGATGAAATGAACCTTTAGAAGATTTGAGAAGATGTATGATTATTACTTGGAAAGGTTTAGACACTTGGCGCATCTAGAATTTGGTCGTGCCCATCATTATCATAGCTTGTTGAAACTTGGCATCAAACTCCTCGCGCATCTTTTGCATCTCCGCCTTGTGTTCTTTATTGAGTTGAGCTCAAACTCTCTCTGTTTCTTGTAATCGCTGGTCGAGCTCTTCTTTAAATACCATGTTAGCGGAGGATGATCCGGTGCTTCTTCATAAACTAGGGGTGAAGAACTATTTAATGCCAATCCCTTTAGGGGCCCCTCTGACTCTGCCGAGATGCTTAGCCTTTCCAATGGCAATGGCTAAGATATCCATCCATATATGAGAAACGAATGTACCTTGGGATAATTGCTCCTCAAGCGTATCCTGTAACATTAAAGCAACAAATTTAATTTAAGATAATTGAAAAAAGAAATTAATGAAGCACAATGCATAAATATTACTTACAATCCTCTCAGCAACAGTAGCATACTTTGGAGTAATATATTGACCCCTTTTAACCCTCGCTGCTGTCTATTTTTCTTGGTGAGAAGGACGCTCAATAGGTGGAATGTAGCCAGTAGGATCTGAAACAGCAGTCATTTGTTTATTCTTTTTTTGCTCCTCCATCATATTTCTTTCCAACCCACCGTACCTTACATGAGACATAGTATGTGGGTACACGTTCTGCTCAGATATTTGCTTGTTCTTCCTACTCAGTGCCTATGACAATAAAACAAATTCAACAAATTTAGTTTAGTTAAATAAAATATAAATTGATTAAAAACTAAGTTTGAAGAAACCAAACCTAAAATGCAGGGTCATGACGTTGCTCCACAAACTTCTCCCATGCCCTGTCACTAACAAAAGAGTGTCGATTCTTAGGATGCTCACCCTTTTCTTTTTCCACTAAGATACTCTCTTGTAAGCATGGATTTAAAATCCCTCCACCGTTTGAGTTGCTTAAATAGATAGTCTCTCATTTTCTTAGTTGCGGGAATATCAATTGTCAACTGCTATACAATATAATAGAGTTACAAGTAAGCAAGCAATTATAATTGAAACAAATAGAGAAAAGAATTCGTAATGTACCAAAATATCCTCTCAAATGGTTTGCTTCAAATCTTTGTCTACCATCCTCCAATTAGGAATGTCAATCCCAATCTTATTGCATGCAAGATAACCCACATAACTAGTAAATTGAGCTCCTTCATGACCTACAGCTTTCAAATCATTATCAAACTCTACTGTAATCCTCATAGCTGTGTGGTCTCATCACGTAAAGCCAAATGCCTCATACGGGTTGGCCCTCTACCCCTTCTCTTGCTAGTAAAGGAGTTGTCGTCACTAGAAGCCTGTTGACCGGATCTGTCCATTTTCTGTTCAAAGAA